AAAAAACGAAAACAAAGGAAGACAAGCATTAAGAGCATTAAGTACAGTTAGTCTATCTGTTAAGACAAAGTATTTGAAATCTGAGCATTGTATGAATCCTGCCACTTTCAGACAATCAGTGCAGAAAGGTTGGGCAGTTACTAGGACAGTAAAATAGAAAAGTTGCACCACTCACAGATAGAAATAGCAACGATGAGAGATTCCCTGGTTCGTGTGAGCCTGATGTTGCATTCACTCCCAGCACCACGTCTTTTCTAGCTCGATTTTTTCACCGATTATTGCTCTGTCTGAACTTTTCTGCAGACGTGTGCCAGCGGTACCATCTGCTGGCTAAAGCTGGCACTGTGTGGAGCAGCGAGCACAGGCAGTGGGGCTGGCAGTCCTCAGGACAGTCCCTCTGTCCCTTGCCTTCCTCCCCCACATCAGCAGATCCCCATCTCAGTCTTCTGTGCCAGAAATGTGTCCAGTTACTCCTAACCCAGATGCCTCTCAATGTTCAATGTTGGATCCCAGAAACCTGGGAATTTTGAGCTTTCTGTGCTTTCTGACACTGACCCCCTGGAGAACACTGCTTTTGACCTGGAGCCTTGGAGAAGGCTCCCAAATTTGAGTGATGGTGTTAAAGTCACGGGTGTGTAGTTAGAAGCGTATCATTTCACATGGTGAAGGGTTTTGAATTTGGGGTTTTTAGAATGGAGTAATAGGTATGGGACAAGATAGAGGTTCTTGGGCATTGTCTCTTTCTGTCCTTCCTTTTTCTTCATGATTACAGGTAGTGGTTTTTGGTTGGATAGTTAGTGCTGCACTGCGGGTCAGGTATTTGGTCATTGGGTCGAAAGTATAAATAATATAGGTGTTAGTTCTTTATTGGACTGTTTCGCTTTAAAAGACCTTGTAACTAGCTAGATTACCTCCATTTTGCTCACTTTTAGCTGGTAACTAGAAGTCTTGCAGAACTCTCTGTACTTTAGATAAGATTTAATAAACAACCAAGCACGAACATAAGAAAATTCGTCTCCTTCATGTTTTTAATCCTGACTCTGAGTGAAGGCAGAAGAAAATTAAGACAAGCCACTAATTAGGTGGTGCAGTTAACCCATTTACACTATCCCATATGTCTTTCAATGTTCTGTTGTTCTTCGTCATGCTTAAAAGAAATGCCTTGCCTGTTCACTCCTCAGCTGTCCAGGCACACGGAGTAACAGACAAAACGTCCAGACTGTGCACAGGGATCAGGCACAGCCCTTTCTTCATATCTCAGGAAAAGAAGAGCTCTTTGTGCTATGTCCTTCGCTGGAGCTTTGCATGTAGCAGTCCCCCTTTAATACAGGATAGGCATTCAAAACAACTACCATGACTTTTATGGAATGAGATAACTGAAAGTAGAGAGCATATGCAAAATGTGCAAAACGCCTTCAGGAACTGAGCTCAGGGTGTTTTCACTAGGAATTTCTTTTGGACTAAGATGTCTGACTACATGAGCCAAGAACAGACAAGCATCTCAAAACCAGTAAAGGATATTCAGGGAAAGAAGCCAGAAGTATTAGATAGCTCTGGGTTCTCTTTTGTTGTTGTTGTTGGTTTTGGTGGGGGGGGGCGGGCGTGGTTTGTGTTTTTTTAAGGGGATGTGTATTTTACAGACAGAATCACAGTATTTTGGTCATCCAGGTCTCTGTCTATGGAGTGGCTGAAGAGGCTAGGAGTCTGGTCTGGGAGAAAGAGAAGCTAAGAGGGAGGGATAAGAGAGAGGACTACCAAGGGAGTAATGAGGAGAGATTAAGAAACAATTCTTCATTTTCCCAGGTAAAATTAATTGGAAAATCTTGTAGAACAAAGAGGGAGGGGATCAGGCATACAAAAGACATGTGGTGCATTAATAGATCTCTTGCCATGCTCATGGATGCCATGGATGCTGAGAAATTGCATGGCTACCCAGATGCCCAGGCCCTGAGGGCACCATCAGCACTCACTGGCCCATGGCAGCCCCTGGGGCTCCCCCTGTCCCTGTCCCCATGACCCCATTTCAGCCACCCATGGCTCCAGTCCCCACCCAGGGATACCCTAATCCAAATATCTGGTCTTGTGCTCTTATGTACTGAGGCACAATCACTGAGAAAATATTAGTGAACTGGAGTCATACAGTCTTGCTGGGTAAACTGGGTGAGAGGAAAGCTTAGATTCACCAAAATCAAGGAGGATATATTTCCAAAGCACCAGGGATAGCAAATATAGAGAAAGAATTTATTTCATTCTGGGAGGGAATCTGAACTTGCTTCCATCACCTCTAACAAATATGTCCCAATAGCCCAACTGGTAGATAATATTTTTCATGTGTTTTCTTCTGTTCCTGCAAGAAAAATGAGCCATTTTCTTGACTTGGATTGAACTGTTTGAGGTTGTGCTTGTTTATTTTCTAGTCTGAGAAATAATAAAAGTAATTATAGCTTGAAAAAGAGAAAAAGCTACTTCTTAACTTTTGCACTATGAGGGAAAGGTTTTGTTTAGGGTTGTTTGGCTGCCTGAAAGTATGACTGGGAGGTGCAGACAAAACCACCCCCTTCTAGTGGTCAGTGAACAAAGAGACTGAGCTGGTACTTCCAGAACTGGAGCAGTGCTCCATCTTTTCTATGGAACAAGTGAATAGAAATAAACCCAGTGAAGTCAGGACATGCTCACACCTTGTGCTCACCATTATGATTATCTGAGGAGCAGAAATGCACTGGCCACCTATTCTGAACCAATGGGTATCAATGGAGTTATTTCAGAAAGGGATGTCCATAGTCCTCATTGGAGAGGCAGAGGTCCTGCCTACTAACTTGTAGGAAAAATTATATACAAAGAGTTGGAAGGAACAAAGTTTGTCAGCCTCAGTTCTCATGCTCTGACAGAGGGTGAAAAAGCTGAGTCAAGCACAAGGGTGATGTTCCTTCAGAGAGGCCTGGTGGGGAGAGCAAAGCAGCTGCCAGGAGCTTTGCCCCCCATGCAGAAATTCCCAAAACCAACTGGTCCTGTTTTGGTACAATTATTTAATCAGAAAAAAAAAATGCAACTCCCCTTTCTCAAAATAAGGTAATAAAAATTGCCGTCTCAGTGACAATGAGACAACCCTATACTTGTCTATTCATAACATCTTTCCAAGGTCTGTATGAACCTCTGTGATTCAGAGTCAGTGCTTTCATGAGACAAAGAGCTGCTACTGCTGCATTTTACCATTTTACAAACCACAGAAAGAAAAGCTCCAGAGATTTCAAAAGCCATAGACTCGGCAGAGATTCCAGAGTTTGATTTGTGAAGTGAGACAGCTGACAGATAACAAACTCAATTTTACTTCAGTCACTAAAGCCATGAAGGTAGTGCTGTGTCACTTGAATCAGTGATGAGTAATGAGTTTCAAGGCCTTTAAAAGTGCAAAGAGAAGTAGTTCAGAAAGGAAAGGCTTCACCTGGCACAGAAGAGACAAGACCTTGTTGCACAGTGACATGAGCCAGGTATTCTCCAGCACTGAGGTAGGGATGGAGTAAGGGTTACTCTGTTGAATGATATAAGAATTTGAAACATTTCTCTTCCCAGCAATAGTTCACTGCTATCATTTTAAAGAAAAGTGGACTCCCCTAGGTATCCTAGAGAGTAGTTTTGCATCAAATGTTGCCTGGTGCCTAAAAGTGAGTACCCCTTGGAGCAGTGAGCTGAGCAATGTGTGAGAATGTGAGCAATGTGAGAATGACAATTGCTCAATATGCATAGAAATAACTCCTGAGAATTTTTATTCAAAGCCAGCAGGATTCAGGCTGGAACTGCACAGCAAGGCAGCCTCCATTTTGACAAATACAGTGCATGTGTTAAACAAGAAAAAGTGGATTCAGGAGCATCAAGTCTCAGACCTATGATTCTCAAGAACATGAGTCTGATGGGAATTGAGCATATCCCATATTAGGCATGAAAGGACTCTCTTTTTTCACCACTAACCTATTTTTCAGCTAGGCTGTCCCATTTTGTTAAGCTAATAAAGTAAAATTTATTTCCTTCTTAGTCATCTTGAAAAGAATTCATGGCAGTGGGCAGACAAGAGGACATTCTCTGAATATGCTCCAAAGCAGTATGTTACATTTACTAGATTTGCATGTCTGTGGTTTCCAGTTAAGAGAAAATCTAAAACAAGAAATGGACAAGACAGCTTTGCAACAACTGCAGAAAGAAGAGCTGTGTCCTGAAATGTGGCTGATCCCACCTAGCAACTGCAAAGATTTATTGCATCAGACATATTTCAAGAAAACAAAAGATCTTTGTCTTGCTTAAATCCATTGTTTTCTTTTGCTGAAGTGGTTTTAGTTCCACAGTTTCCATAAGTAGCTCTCTATCCATCAGAAAAAATATCTTGCAAAGCAATTTGCTGGCACTGCCCTCTCTCTTTGAGGTCTTTGTGGGCAGGGATTCCCAGAGATGCATTTAATGGAGAGGGAATGACAGCACTTCCACACCTCCCCAGCCCAACAGTCCCAACCCAAGGACACTGACAGACCCTGCTGGGCTTCTGGCCACACAGGGACCTCCACACTCTCACTGCCAGTAAAGGGTTCCTGCTGTGTACAAACACACAGCAGCACCAGAACACTGCATGTGCCTTTTGCTTAGTTGGCAGGAGAAATACATTTATGTGAATCGGCTATAAAAACCCCAACCAAATCCAAGCTGAAGGCAGTGACCATCTAAACTTACATCTTTTCCTGCTTTGTGGAATCTCTCTCCTTTTCACTAACACTCAAATGAGCAAAGAAGGAATTTCAGGAGTCCAGCTCTACATTAAAGCATCAACAAAAGGCAAGATTTGCAAAGTATGTGCATTTTGGTCTCATCTTTACTATAGTTTTATTTGAGGGAAATATTCTGTTCACTCCCTGCCAGCAGGTGGGACAGCAAGAAATTAGAATGCAAAACTCCATAGTATCAGTCAATCCAAAAAATTAGGGCTATCATTTAAAAACAGAATGAAAACAAACTAACAAGCAAAAGAGTATGAACTATTTATTTCTGAAAAAATATTCTACAAAATTGTGGCTTAACTACCATTAAACTGTTAATATAAAAATAGGAACAAATCTGATAAAATATATTCCTGACAATCATTTAAGTCCTGCATTATATTTTGAATGGTTTTAAATATAGAAAAAAACCCAAACCTCACCTGTAATGAAATTATTCAGTTTGCATCTTGTACTTTTATGGTTTGTAACTGGATAAGTGTTGATGCATAAAGCTGTAATTCACCAGTGTTGACCACAATTTTTATGAAAATAAATAAGTAAACACACTGAGATGATACAAGCTGAGCATACAGAATTCATCCTAATTACACTTGGGCAGAGAAATTCAAGTAAACAGTCATACCATGAAATTTTCATGAGAAAAGCAGACTTGAAGCAACACCCTCACCTGGTTCTCAGAGCAATTTCCTCCTGGTATTATCATTGCTCCTATAAACCCATTGGCCGAAGTTAAAAATAAGATGCCTAAGGCAAAAGTAAAACTAGTACGTACAAAAATGTTTCTTCATCATCTAGAAATTAATGAGACAGATCTCCAGCTTTCCACTGTGTCACCAAAGAGGAGATTCTTCACACTTTAATGTCCAAAAGTTAAGCACTAGGTTAAATGTCCATTCCTTGTCTGCTCAATGCAGATTCAGCTTAACCAAGACACTGATTTTAGAAGAATATACCTTTCCCATCCCAGATACCTGCTTGTATTCGACCTCTGTGAAGACAGATGTCTACGTTTCTTCCTGGGCATGAGGAAAACCATACAGGAGGCCATCATACGTCAGCCAGTTAATTTTTACATGGCTCAAATATGTGTGATGAGTTGGATCAGATAAGTGACACATTCCCAAGAGTATCATCAGAGGAGTTAGAGACCTAACTATGTTTGTCATTTTGTTCCTTTAGGGTACAATGTAGGTCCCACAAACCTAACAGAACTGTGCTCTGTTTGGTCAGCACAAAGGAAACAAACCATTACACTGGGTATCTATAGCCAGCAGTCATGTTGTGCAGACAAGGATTTGAATTGTGATTTATATCAAATCAGCAGCCAGGTAGCTTTGATCTCTCCTCTCTAACCTTCCACTTGCACACAGCAGGCTGGCACTGCTCACACTGGCACACTGGTGAACACCAGAATCAGCTTTCATAGATTTGAAGGCTGCCAGTCTCCCCACCTGTGGGATGAGGACTCTCTCCCTTTGCTGGCGTCACTGATGTCAGCAGTTTCTGCACTCCCAGCCCACTCCTATGGAGCCTCTACAGCAAAGTGAGAAAGGATCTCCAGAAGCACAGAAGTGTGTGGGGTGACATGGCACCTTCAACTCAGGGAGCTGGGTTTGCTGCTGTCCCAGGTGATGCAGATCACTTTGGTTTAGAACTCAAAAGGAAACAGGGCAAGGGGAAGAAGAGCTGGAGTCTCAGCATCCTTGCTCCCACATATATCAGGCAGCTGATATCCCCAGGGCAGCACCCAAGGGAGCAGACAGTGGTCACAAATGCACTTTGGTCTGTGAGAGCAGCAGGATTCATTTCTGAAAGGGAAAGAAAAATGCCTAGTGTTAACATTTAGCTGGAAATATTTGCTCTTATGTCCAGTGGAATAAAAACTACATATGTTAGACACTGAGTCAACTGCTCAGCAGCTGAGCAGGGGGCAGTAATTGTCCACTGTTTTTTAAAATTTGGGATGGACTTTGATTTCATTGTTTGTTTTATGACTGCACATTAGAAGCATTATTATTGTCACTCCCATGGAAAATGCTATGAATGAGGTAGCAACTTTCCCAGGAAAAAATATTATCTCTACTCTTAATATTTTCTTGGGTGGAGAAGGGGTGTAGCTGTTGTTTTTCTGATGCATGCTGAAAAATGCTTAGGAAATATACCTAATTTTCAGGGCAGAAAGGAGAAGCACTCAGTGCCTGTTACTGATAGGCTGTTAGCCTGTGTCCTTGAAAAGCAACATACTACAAGAGAAAATGGGTAGTTCTGAAGTGTAGCTCTTCTATGTCTCAAAATATCAGAAGCAATTGCCTTTAATAGATGATTAAAAACTTTTGTCCCGCTATTATTGCACTGTAGAGAGCTGCCATCAGCAGTGACCTATTTGCTGTCATGGCAGAAAGGCTTGTTTCAGATGCTGGCCTAAATGCAAATGATTGTTGGTTGTTGCTTATCTGTCTGCAGTGTGGTACCCTTAGAAAATAAATAACTTCTGCCAGAGGGCCTTCCTTGCTTGGCAAGTGGGTTCAGCTGGGTTTCCTACCCTCATCCGTGGTGGTGTGGGCCTCACAAATGACAGGCACATGAGCACTGCTTACAGAGAAAGCTCTCTGTGGCTCTCCTGGTGTGCCTGATGTTCACCTGAAATGCTCTCACTGCTGGGCTGGGATATGTGTTTTCTTTGTAAGGGGTTGTCAGCCACAAGACCTCTGAACCTGTGCCAGAGAATCAAGAGATCTATTTTGAAATGTTATGCTAATTTTCTGTGCTTTCAAGGGGGCCCTCACATCACATTTGCAAGCTTCACCACGGAACCACACAGGATTGTTTTTTTCCAAAAGGATTCGGTGGGGGTGAGGGCAGTGGGGACCGAGCAAGTTGGTCAGTCCTGTGCTTCTTAGACCCAGCTTTACTGGAGACCAAAAATTGCCATAAATTATCATTGCAAACACTGGCAACACTAGAAATGAAAAAAGTCAACAAACCTTGCTGTGTTATTAAAGGCACCGTTTTGAATATGAAAAGGCTCAAATGTGGAGAAGGAAATGTTTCAGCTCATCTGGGAGGAGAAGTCCAGTTATTTTTTGATGCTGCTGGTATCCAAAGCACCTCCTGATGCACAGGCGGCACAGCTGCATCAAGGACAGTGGCCCTGGAGAAAGATCCAGGAAAGAGGTCACACACATGGCTTTATAATGCCAAGACTATAAACCTGAAACAGCAGCTGTGCAATTCACCTCCTGCAACCCATCTCTAACCAGCTTTTCACAGTCAGCAGTGAAAAGTCAAACCTGCATCCCTCAAAGGACACCTGCCCACCTGCAAACCAGTGCATGCCTAGTCACTGTCATTACTCAACTTGCATCAGCAGCAGCATTAGCCTTTCCTTTTTAAGCTGTATAAATGTTTGTACTGTCTGAGAAGAGATGATTGATGCTACTTTAAAAGCCCTTCCCTCCTCTCACTCCCCCAGTGAGATCAAAGTTTTCAGTCCACTGCTTTCTTGAGGCATATTTCATAACAGTGATGAACACAAAGCAAAAGAAACACTATATAATTCTTTATTTAAACCTTCCAGGTTAGCTGGTCCCATATTGATAGATGAGAGATGTGTTGAAGAATCTTTGTCGCTTTATAAAAAATGTAAGTATAATAGCATTATACACCTGTTTGGGTCCCTTATCCTTTTCAGGAAGAGGAAGATCCTGTGTGGAGTTTTACCTGCAGCACCTGTCAGTGCTCAGCCCTCCAGAGCACTGTCTGCACAGCGGTGACAAGTGTGTGCAGGGTGGCAGGGGCTGCGGGAGGGCAGGTCAGGAGATGGGCACCAAGGAGGGGGGTGGATGCAGGGAGTGGGGAGGACATGAGAAGGGACACTGCAGAAAGCAAGAGGTGAGTGAGCTGGGAAGGGACAGTTCAGGTGCCTCCCTCCTGCAGAGCAAGGGAAGGAAGGGAGCCTGCAACAAAAATGCAGTGTGGTGGCAGCTTTGATCAGCTTTTGAGACTTCCCTCGTGCAGGACACCACATTTCCAGCAGCTCTGCGAGGCTGAAAGCTGCTGTGCTATCTTAAGGGCCGTGCAAAGGGCTGCACCCTTCTGCTAGGAGCCAGCATATGAGTTATTACCCCGTGCTTGGGTACAAAACAAGGCAAGCTAGTTAAAATATTGCAGTATCACACTGCACTTGTGCTTGACTCTAATCCCACAGATAAATGCTCTGCCTGCAAACATCTCACTAGAAAAACAAAAGCTTAAAAGAAAAGAAAATTTTTTCATTAAAAGAAAAAACAACCAAACCCAAAACATGAAGACTTATCAAAACACAAGCAAGCACTGACACTGCACTGGAAAATATTTTGGAAACGCAAGCACACGCTTCAAAAACACAGTACATTTCTGGAGCATTCACTAATTCTCCCACCCACATGCAGGACTGTCCCTGAGATGTAAGCAGGGTATGGGATGGTCCAGCAGCAAGGTGAGCTGTTAGGAAGGGAACCACCACATGTCCTACACGTGCTCCGGGAGGTGACTGGGTCAGCAGGCTCAGCAACTCATCTCTGGTGGCCAAACACGCTCCCTGCAGCCTGCCTGGCCATGGGGTCTGGGGGACAGGAGCCTTGTGTGGGAGCAGGGCAGGAGAGCAGCTCTTGCACCCCTCGCCTAGATCACAATTTCTCAGCCAGCCAAAGCAGGCAGACATCAGCTGCCCACAGGCATGACCCCACAGAGAAGGGCATGTTGGAGAACATCAGAAAAACCACTATTCCACAGGAAAATTCCCTTCAGGCATTTATTGTTTCTGATTTTGATTGCTGGATTTCACTTAGGAACGCTCCTCGCTGCCCATGCTGTCAGCTCAGCCTGAGCAGTGTTTCCAGGCCAGCTCCACAGGGCGTGCCTGAAATGTTTTTCTATCTCAAATAAACAGGACACATGCAGTGCCACAGGAGTCAGGAATCGAATGCAGCAGGGACTGGAACTCAAAAAGATCATTGCTCTGTGTGCCATAGATTAGGCTGGGAAAACAAATATCTGTTGCTCATGCATAACATGCACAGCCAGGTGTTTCCATGCTACTTTCATGTTATTATTTTCAGCAGGGCCTGATTCATTATTTTGTCATTCAAATTTCACCTCAGTGTAAATATTTCTATGGCAACAATCCCACCAGCATGTAACTGGCATGGACTCCACCATCACCAGTTTGTTTAAAATAATGAAAATCCAGATTATTTAGTAATATTTATAGCTTGCTGGCTGAATGAGAAAACCTAAGGTAAAAGACAAGTACAAAAATGAGCAGGCACTAAAGATTGTATTCCAATTAAAAAATAATAAGTAACATTTCTCTCCATACTTCATTAAATATTTCATAATCAATAAAATAAAATAAATTTACCTGGAACTCTTAAATTTACAAATATGAAATGGACTCTTCTTAAAATTTATGATTTGATATTTTGACACAGTTATTATTCAGCATATAAAATTGGTCTTTAGAGAAATCTAGTGTATAAATGAATATAAATATATAATTCCATATATCATTCCTGTACAATTTTGCCTAATGTCCAAAAAAAAAATTTACATAGTCTTTCATTTTAAAGATAGTTTTGCATCTATGTAAAGCTTGGCCCAAGAATAAAAGTAAAGGGCAAAGAATTAGAAAACAAGTTCTTCAATATACTTTTTTTAGTATTGCATGCATTAAAATTTTTGGGATTGCAAATCTCCATTTATGCATTTGTGCTGAGATGCACAAACCTGGCCATCTACTGCATAACCAGAGATCCCAAACCTCATCCTCACTACCTAGCCTCAATTCCCATCAGAGGTGATTTGCTGCCTGCATTTATCAGCACACTCTATAGAACACTCCTGGGTCTACTGCTGTCTGACACAAGGGAACTGAGACATTCTCACTAAATTCAAGGTTTTCGGTGATGAAAAAATACCACTAATTTCTAAGGAGTCTTTTGTTTGTTTATTCACCCTAAATTCTATTTTGTATTATATGGCACGCTCCATATGATTGCTTCCTGATGCAGTAGGTTCAAAATCTGGAGGTTCAGGATGGGTTATTTTTATTACCATTATCACTATTAGTTCACCACTATATTCTGGCACTTGAACAATGTTCCTATGTCAGCAAATGGAGGCAAGCTCAGTTATTCCCAGTTTTCTAGTGCTAGCAGCCTGGAATAGCATAGCCTTGTGCAAGTCTGGGTGGGTTTTCCCTAAAACAAGTTCTAAGGGGCACCTTCTCTCTGCAGGAACAGTTGGCCCACAGGGCAGCCAGGTGGGACCAGCTCCACTGGCCTCTTGTTTTCAGCATTCTTCACCCAAACATCTGCTCCAAAGTCCATCAGCAGCTTCACCAGCTCCACACTGCAATTCCTGGCAGCCATGTGCAGAGGGGAATCCAGGCCCTTGCCACTGTTCACATTTGCTCCTGAACAGTAAGAGGGGCAAAGGACAATGAAAAGAACGATGAGAAGAACAATAACTATACAGTAGCCTAACTCCATTCACTGTACTAGCTGCTATTTCTCTGAATGACACACAAATGCTGTAACCTGCACCCAGAGCTGGGCTCCTTTACTCAGGGGCTTGGTGCCACAATTTGCACAAGCACAACTCTTGCTGGCTGAGGAGTGGGGCTGAGACTTGAAAATGATCCCAGAGCAATGGTGTGTGAAGAATTCCTTCACCCACAGCCCAGCCCATGGATATCTCAAAGCAAGACAAAGCTGTAGTTCCACCTATAGCCCACCTCTGCTTCCCATCCCTTGAAATAAACACAGGATTTCAACATGCTCTGTACTGGGGGCTGGTGGGATTCCCAAATGCCAAAGTATTGGTCAGGGAAAAAATGGGAGAATGGAAAAATTCTAGAGGTCCTTGATAGAAGAGGGCATAAGCACCCCTGATGAGAGTTCCCCCATTCATTACCCTGGACTAATGGCTCCTAAAACACCCTAAGAAAGGTGAGCTACAGAACTAATTCAAACTATAATGTTTTATAGTACACATTCCCATGTGCAGGAGGCAGCAGAAAAAAAATTAGCAGAAAGAAGAAAATAGTTGCCAAACATGTAATATTTCGATTAATTTGTATTTGACTTCTTCACAAAAGAGGTCATTGTACTAAACAATGGTACTTTTAGGTAGTGACCTGCCTAAAAGGTGATATAGATGATTTTTATTTGTTTTTTCTAAAGTAGCTTTGTTGGTCCATCATTTTTGTACCAGCTATGTGGCTACTTTAGGTTATATGGCCCCTCTGGCTAGAAGACCTGTACAACTGTAGATAACAGGAAACGGATTTGTGTAATTATCCAAGCATTTAGACTTACAGCTAGATTTGTGTGATGCAAAGGATATAGCACTGAACCTTCTTCTGTGTTGGAAATGTCTCAAACATTTAACAAATTCATTGGAAATTATAACGTTTGCAGAAATACTATGTAAAAGTGGCTGAGTCAATTGTTTTGGGTAAAGAGGAGGTAAAAAAAAAAAAAATGAAATTTCTTCCTGTCCACTTCAAATAACTGCAGCATCACATGAACTGGAAAAAATAGTTTTTTCCAGACACAATCAGCCATATGAAATCCAGGATCATCTATCACTTTATTGGGAGCTATCAAGCTGAATTCCTGGATCAAAAAGACCCTGATCACCCTGCTAGGACATCTAACCAGGGCTGCAATTAGGAGTGAAACATCTTCTGGTCCCAAAGCAGGAGCTCCTCCAAATCTTTGACGCAAAGATAATCCAAAGATAGATGCTGCAGGAAACAAAAGTACACCATTCTTTAATTTTGTTTTTACCTGACTCAAGCAGCTTCTTGGCACAGTTCAGTTGCTGGTTCTCACATGCTACATAAAGAGGAGTACCCAGGTGCTTGATGTTGTGATCTATATTTATCCCACGGGATGCAAGGAGTTCGACACATTGCACATGACCTTAAAAGGCATAAAGGAAGAGACAACTCACAGAGATCAGGCTTTTTTTTTTTTCAGCAAATTCTCCGTTGCAGCAGTGTAGTTTGGCAAAGATTCAATGTTTTATCAAGAGATGGTAGTGTAATACTTTCATCCACTCCAATGGATCCAGCCAGCAAAACAGGAGCTGAAAAGCCACATTCAGCAAAACACGCTGAAGCCTCACAGGCTAAAGCCCCCACATTTTATCTGGCTTGTTTCAGATAAATGATGTCTACTGAAGAAGAGATGAATCACTCCATGTTTCTCCCCACTCCTTTAGAAGAGAGCCAGATGTCTCCCTCAAATGTCCACATTGTAGGCAGCTGACTAAGACAATGCATTCCCTTCCAGGTGTCATGACATGAACTCAGAGGACCTGACAGCTGAGCTGACCTGCCCTTGAAGAGCAACAGGGGTGGGAAGAACTGCACCCCTCGTGATGACACCAATTAGCAAGGCATTTTACATGACCCAAACCAAGAAAATTTTCTTCTTTCTCTCTCTCCTCCACTTCACCACGCTGCTAGCCACACGGAAAGGAGGGCTGATGCCTGTGGGGTTACCTCTCTTAGCAGCTTCGTGGATGGGGGATGCCAGGTCACAGGGTGGCTGTAGGCTGGCTCCATGCTCCAGCAGTAAATTCAAGCAAGCCACACTGCCACTGACACAAGTGTTGAACAGTGGTGTGTGCCAGTCAACAGTCACTCCATTCACCTGGGGGAAAATAACACAATCCAGCAAGTTTTTTTGTCTTCTTGGTATTTCAGAACTGAATAGACAACTAACCAGTTTCTCAGCAGAAAACAGGAGTTTAGATTTTTTTTATTTCATTCCATGCCAAAACTCCCCAGTGCTTTTAAAGACTACAACTTTTCATCAAAATGACCATTAAAAAAGTATTTTTTACAATTGCCCCCAAGTCTCTCCTACTGCAAAAAAAAACCCAAAAAACAAAAAACATCAGGGCCATTCCAGGGTCTCTCGGGAGTTACCAAGCTAAATGTATGACCATTTCTCAGTTATCTTAGCTGAAATACACCTACCCATAGCCCTCTTCTGAAACATTCCAATTTTGTCTGAAAATGTGCAGCCCTTTCTTATTTTTCTTTTTTTTTTTTTTTTTTTTTATTTTAAACAGAAAGGTAATATCTGGAAAGGTGTATTAATTAATTTTCTTATTCATTATAATTTTGATGCTAGCCTGAAAAGTAGTGGCCATGAGACACCATTTCACTGGCACCTTGTTTCCATTTTCTCCCCATTTTATTGTCAGTTGATCCTAACATTCCTATATGCCTCTACTTAAGACTCTGCATATTGATACAATAAGATTAATGTGTACATAAAATAAAACACACCCTTAACTGCTGCAGCATTATAAACACTTTGCAAGATGAACTTCCCTTGTTCTTGTGAAAGATGAAAACATTTCATCCTCAACTAAAGAACAATATTAACTGCTGCTTGTATCTGTCCTTTTTTGGATTGCTTTATTAGGAAGTGCATTTCATAAGTACCTTAAGCAGAGCTAAGTACAGAGTGTACATCACAGAGATACTCTGCCATGACATCATGTAGCATTAAAGTGTGGCAATACTAACACTAGAGACAGTGGTCTGTCCATCAAGTACCCACCTGAGCACCATGTTTTAACAGGACACTGGCACAGGCAGCATGACCCCCTAGGCAGGCTTCATGGAGAGGAGACACCTGGTCTGCTGTTACAAGATTGACATCATTCCCCTGATAAGACAATGGAAAATACCATTACAACCAACTACTAAAACCCCCAATACAATTAAAAAACAAAACAAAACAAAAACAAACAAACAAATAAACAACAAACTACAAAAAAAAAAACCTTCTTTAAAAACTTTATGCAACTAGACCTTCCTCAACTACCTGGGGCTATTCATTTCAAAAAGTAAGCATATGAAGGGGATGAAGAGGCTGGAGTGGATAGTGGCACAGTGTACCTGAGGTTATGCCTTGCACACATTGAAAACAAGCACAGAAAGCTTAGTGGACTGTCCAGTGGGACAATACATCCTGTTAGGAACTCAGTGTGATTTGGTTTCTACTACACTATGGAGAGCAAGATCTGAAATAAAAGAGAATTATGGAAGTTGCTACAAGAGTTCTTGGTAGAGTCACGGCTGCTGCCTTTTTCTATCACTGCTCAAGCCTTCTGACCTTCTGCCCACTCAGTCTGTGTTGCTTGACTGGGTTGAGCCCTGAAGTATTTTCTGCTCTTTGCCTCGAGGCAAACACTGAAGGAAAGAAATGCATTAGAAACCTTGGTTGGATTCTACAGGATCTTTTGTTCCTAGATCTTGGTGCTCTGGTAGACTAAGCTGGAAGACTCTCCAATGCTCCTTCCCTTTCCATCTTTTTCACAGGTTAAACCCTGGGATTTTGAAGAAACAAAGTGGTGAGGTTCAGAAATCACTTCTACCTATCCCTGACCTTCTGGAGTGAGACCAGGGCCCTAGGATACACTCAGGCACTTCAGAAACAAATGTCTGGGTGACTGAATATAAGCCTCAACCAGACCCATGACTGGGTCCAGAGCTGGCCCTCAGCTGGGCACCAAAAACTGCTCACAGGCACACACAGGAGCTGCAGAGAAGCTGCCCTTGGCCATCCAGAGATCCCAGTGATCAGGGTCCCATTACCTCTGCCACAGTTAACATCACCCAGGAGAGTTCAGTACATCATCAAATTAGTGCACAAAGCTTGTGCTAGGCAAGGAACTCATTGTAGGAAAAAAAAAAACCTGTTGCATGCAGATTTCACTGTAGCCTGGTTAACATGATTTTCTCAGCCTGGAAGTTTCACAGTAAAATACAGACTACATTCATCCACTGAACAAACCCTGCAGAGACCACATGAACCCAGCAGAGAGGTACCTGTTCAATGAGCTTCTTCAGAGAAAGCAGACGCCCATGGATAGAGGCCTCATGTAAAGGAGACCAGTCAGAAACAAAGTCTGTATAAAAACAAAGACAGGAAAAAGGCTAAAAATTCTATTTCACTAGCATACTTTACTTCAACTCTGTGACCTCCCTTCTACTTTATTTGAGCTGCCAAGATTTCTTCGGGCAGATGCTGTGAGGGAGACAGACAAGACAGAAGATGTTTCTCTCTGGGTGCATTTTTAACTAATCCCATGTTTGCACTGCACAGCTGTGTTCCCCTTCAGAAGACAGGAGAGGGATTTGCAGAACATCACCTGGCTCTGGCTGAGCTTGCCCCTTTCTCTCAATTATTTCCAGGGCCTTTTTTTCCCCCACAAACTTACTGCATTTTAATTATCTCAAAAGGAATACGTTTTGAAGAGCGTTTGGCTGATCAGTCATTTACCCCTGCTCAGAGCTGGACTAGAGTCAACAGCCCTTGGCAAGAGAAGGGACCAAAGTACAAGGAGGCAAATTGTGCTACCTGTTGATTCAGTCTCAGTTTTCAGTTTGATGGAGTGGTGCATTTTAAGTTATAGCTGTGTTCTCTGTTGAAACCACAAAGTGAGGTACAGCACGTCTATACTGTGCAAATATTAATAGAGGGAGATCTTCAGTATTACAGGTTTTATGGCTCAGAGCTAACTGACACAAGTAATCCCTCTGAGAGGTATTTACATCCCAGCATTCAAAACCCAGTGTCTGCTCTATGTCAATGTCCCAGGTTCCCCTGGGAAGAAAGAGAAGCCTTTACAGAGGGCACTTCACACAACTTCCCATGGAAAGACGTTTTGCTGCTCTCTGGAGATTTCCCACTCTCTTCCACTGACTACAGAGTATACTCCAGTGACCAAGTTGCTGGCTGAGTTGCTGAGGTTCTCAGGAACTATAACAGAGCACATGCATAGAATGGAATCCTTAACAGAGGGAAGTCTGCCTTCAGCAAAAAATCCTAATAAGCCACTATAATTATTTAAAATAATGTTTACATACAAGCTGATGATCGTAAGGGTTTTAAATTAAAAAAAAAGGTATATTTAGACCAGACATAAAAATGAGGTGAAATAATGGAACAAGCTGCCTAGAGGGGTGATAGATGTCCCATTCCTGGAAAGAATCAAGGTCAAGTTGGATGGGGTTCTGAACAACCTGGTCTAGTGGAAGGTGTTTCTGCTCATTGCAGGGATGTTGGACTAGACAACCTTTAAATGTCCCTTCCAATCTAAACCTGGCTATGAGACTATGAACTAGCTTTTAAATAAATTCATATTCTTTGTTATTAGCATTATTTAAGCTCAGCCTGGCTCCTTCTATGTTCCATGGGCTGCATCCCAAAGCAGCTATAGTTTCATTAGGTTCCCAAACATCCTTCAGCTTTAGCAAATGGACAGGACAGCCAAATCTGGAAGCTGCGGTTCTGGTTTGTGAGGATAGCAAAAATAGGCCACAACTATTAAGCACAAAACTGTTAACTGACTAAAACAGCTTTGCTCTAAGTGATGTGTATCAAATTGATGCTTATCTGATTGTGCTGTTGTTCTTGCTGATCCTGCTTGTGTTACAGTCAGCTTTGTGTTCCAGGGTATGTAAAAAGCTTTTCCTCATTTAGAAATTAATGCCATTGCCTAAATTGCATGAGTTTTAAGGGAAGTATGTTTATAGAAATTCTAAAAATCTAGATTGAAGTACAAGTTTTTCGAGCTGCAACTTGAACTTTTTTTGGCCACACAAATATTGGCAGGCATTTGTGCCTGTACCAACCTGTGTGTTGTACCAACTTGTTATGTCATCCTGTCAGAATTCCGGTTACTAAGAGGGACATATCTATATGTGGATTTTATCCATTCAGTTCCTGCTTGAGAAAAAACAGGTTTCTACTAAAACTCTAAAAAGAGCTAGACCAGCCACCTATGGACTGGTCATTAGCTTGCAATTTGCCAGTCTTAACAACTAATGAAAAGATTGACCATATCAGCATAAAAAATAAATGTCAGTGAAAAATAAAAGAGATATGTGCTAACATGTAATCTATCTGGGAGTTCTGAAACTGAGAGAAACTGAAAGTTTTATCCTAGGTGGAAGTGAGTCCTTTGGAGCCCTATGGAGTCCATCACACCAGCTTTGGGTACCTTGGGAAGTATTAAAGGCCTGACTGATGACTAATTGCAATGGCATAGTTCCAGATCTGCTGCCATGAACTGCACAGCCCCAGGCTGATGTCTCTCCTGCCCTATCTCCATCTGCAGCAAACACTTCTAACCTGAAGCAATGCCAGGGAGGCAAGCCCCTTGCAAGTGATGGCACATTTCCCCAGTTTCTTCACCTAGGACATCACCTTCTGGCAAATAGCAATATTTCTATTTTTTTGCCTGCTCCAGACTGGAACTAGTGTTTCTTGCCTGGAAGAGGAGAAAGGCAGCAGTGGATTTCCATGTCTCACTGCCCTCTTTAACACTTCACAGGAGGCACACTGTCAGAATATAAAAGATCTGTATTGTATTTGATTAAGGCCTAAGCAAATGTCAGTTCCAGCTGACCATGGGCTTTCAAAATCCTGAACTAATGACTTTGGTGAATGTGCTCAAAACACTCTGTCCACCACCAGAGCTGCACGTGAAGTAGCAAGGCTGGTGTATGTGGGGGACACAGCTGTGTTCATTGTATATACCACCACTGCAACAAGGATTCCTGATTATCAAAAATATATACAACTGCTCTTTCACAAAGAAACAAGATAATTTGTCCAAATTTGAAATTTACCCACACCTTAGTCCACAGAGAGGCTGCGTCAGATCCCAGTAGTTCAGCATCTAGACATCCAAATCCTACTGGCTTTCAGTGGCTTTGGGTCACCTAGCTCCCCTTCCACTGCAGAAAACTCCAGCCAGCCAGAGGTTACAAATTAAACCTCTGGTCACGTTTGATTGCATTGCCATCACTCAGGCATGTGACACTGGCAGGGTGATGTATACAGAGGGAGCCTTATAGCAATAACCATGCACACATGCAAATTCTGACTGCTCTCTGTGCACAACAGAGCTCTCACAGGACCTTTCTAGAGCACTGGTTTTTGTGGTGGTGGCTGAAGCAACTTTTTCCAACCTCAGACCATGTGAGGGCATTGCACCCTCTGTGCCTGTCCCCAGGCTAGTTTCCTTCCATGCCTCTCACGCACAGTGCAGCTTGAAAGGGGCTCTGAAGACCTTCCAGTGAGGGTATGCTCTTGCATTCAAATTTGCAGATACAAAATCCTAAGACATTATATAGAAGAGTATTACAAATGGTATTTTTCATACTCAAAGGCTGTCCCTTAAAGATTGTGATATACATAGCCTGAGCCAAATGCATTCTCACAGGAAATTGCCAGCAGAGCTTATTGACTCTGCTAAGGAGCAGGCAGACACAAAATGAATGGACGAAACTTTGATTTTCAAAGGACAAAATGATTTGTGTCCAGCACTGTGCCCTGTGGGATTCTCTCCTTCCACCTCCATTTTGCTGGAGCTTATCTCGTGTGGACCGATTCTATTCACACTGTTAATAATATCACTGTACCTTCCCTCTCACCCCAGCCTCAGGCTGTACATACGTGACACACATGAGGGCAGGCAGACTACACTGCAGATAGACTGGTCAGCCTTGCATTTTGGCTTTATGGTCTTAATTTTAAAGTTGGTATTAATGGAAACATTCTGAAGAGCCCATAAAAGGAGCAAGGACAGCGTCAAGTCACATTTTCTCAATTTACTTCATTCTCTCCGCACTCGCCATTAGATGAAGGAGTAACTGCACAGAAACAGAGCTAAATGGAACATATCCGGCTAAGGATATGAAGTTAAATTACTTGTCTTTTTTTACCATGTCATATTTTCAATGGCTCTGGGCCAGACACAGAGCAATGACCAGACTGAGGCCATTTGTCTGAGTAAGTGTTCACTATTATTTGCCCACAACAGCACTAGTCACAACAATGCCATTGCAGAAGAACCCAGTAGGTTCAGCTTAAATAACACTTAGGTCTGTTCATCTTAGGGACGAGGGGAAAGGATAAAAGATAAAGGAAAAAAATAAAAAGAAGAAGAAAGAGAAGACAAAAATGAAAAGCAAAAAATTAAAATAATCTAAGGAAAGGAGAAAAGAAAGAAGGGAAGTTAGGAGGAAGGGAATGAGAAGAAAAAAGAAAAAGAAAAAGAAAAAGAAAAAGAAAAAGAAAAAGAGGAATTAAGCCAGTGCTGAACTTGCTGCTGGCACTAATTTAAGTCAAACATGCCACATTTCAATTTATTTTTCAGTGTGCTGCGGTCCAAGTGCTGCATTTGTTTCTGCCTGCACAAAATGCAGTACAAAATCAAACGCTTTTTTCCACGACACAAAAGAAAAACAACCAAAACTTCAGTATCCAACAGAAATAGCTTTTAAAAGTCCCGCAAGCAGTAGAAAGGCGCGGGGGTGTTTTGTGGGACGGGCTGAGGAGCTGTGCAGAAGCAGGGCACGGGGAGCAGCAGCACTGCAGCCTGTGCCGGCAGCGCTGAGCCTTTGAGAGCGGAGCGTCACTTACCGCTCATCAGCGGGCTTGATGGGGACGCTGCACATGCCTGGCCTCCAGCTCCCTGCAGTTTGCTGGCATTTTGATTTCTCCTCTCATCGCCCATCTCAGCCCTGCCTGCCCAGCCGCTGTTTTTTCACTTTGTGGTTGGTTTCCAGAGTTCAAATTCCATGGTCCCCGGAGAGCCGCCAGCGGCAGCAGCGATCCCTGGCACAGGCTCCGCACGCATCAGCCGGGCGAGCCTTGCACCACCCGGGACAGCTCTCTGTGCACAAACCCCAGCACCTGGGTTGGGGTTTAACAAAACAGCTCCCGGGCTGCCCTGCTCGGCAGCCAGCGATCCAGCCAGGCGAGAGATGTGCCTGATGTCACATCCTCTCCAACGCGACGCCCAATCGGGGCGCCCGCCGTTCTTTTTTATCAGGAAGGAAATTCTTAGTTTGCCAAAAAAACTAGGCAGAAAGAGCCAGTTCAACTAGTTGAGCAAACTCTGCCTGCAGGGGATGGGCAGAGAGAGCCCGCAGATCCACGAGCAGGCACAGCTGTGCCCCGCTCCCCAGCCAGGGGGCTGGGCCGGGCCGGGCCGGGCCGGGCCGGGCTGGGGCACGGCGGGGCCGAGGCGCTGCTGCTGCCCGGCTCTGATCGCTCCTGCCCGGCTCTGAGCTCTGCTCCTGCCCGGCTCTGGGCATTGCTGCTGCTCGGCTCTCAGTACTCTTGCCCGGCACCGAGCATTGCTGTCGCCCGGCTCTGATCGCTCCAGCCCAGCTCCGAGCATTGCCGCCCGGCTCCGGGCGCTGCCCGTCCCGCACGCACCGCGCCGCATCCCTGCGGAGCCTGGAGAAGAAACCGCAGCGGGGCTCGTGTCCCTCTACCCTGCTCAGCCGAGTTCACTGAGTCACAGTCACACCTGCAGATTTCTACTAGAGCAGCGTTCTTTTATTTTTAAGACATTTCTCAGCCTAAACAAACCATCACAAACCGAACCACATTAAAATAAATAAATAAATAAAAAAGAAGTCGTCATTACTTTTTGAAAGGTGGACCTCTGTCTCATTTCTCTGGGTCTGTTTTGCAAAAGTTCTGTTCTCACAGATCATCTCTATTTGAACTATTTTCCTTCCCGATTTAGTATAATTTACAAGTACAAAATCCTTTCTCTGTCGCTGAATATTTTGCCCATTTGTGTACAAGTGCAAGTAGGCAGAACTTCCATGAAAATTCTAAACCATGTAATGTTGGTTTTTTTGTTTTTTGTTTGTTTGTTTGTTTTGTTTTGTTTTTTTGGTTTTTTTTGTTTTTTTTTTCTCTATGGCTACTACAGCAAAATTTGTTTTTATATTTGGGGATTCAAAGTTGTTAATACTAGTCTAATTCTGACCCGACCTCAGCTGAGCCTAAGAAACTTGATTTTAATTTTATTTTTCTCTTTAATGTATGCAAGAGATCTGGACTCATATTTAGTGTTTCTTTGTCCACATCTTTAAAAATAATAATTTACAATAAAAAATGCAAACAGCAGCTGAACATCATCCACAAACCTTGCCAGCAGGGAATCTGTGACAGCAACCTGGGCACAGGTGATGACAGGGCCAGTCTTTTCCATGGCCTCACATGCTGGATGCAAGCTGACACTTTGATCTGCTTGGAAATTACATTTGTGTCTTAGCCATTTTCACACTAAAACTGTTGTGGGAAAAATGTGTAAACAGAGAAAGTGGTGTATGTAGGTATTGCTTCTGAGGATTAACATGTAAAGAAATGAAAAAGCAATTTTTCCCTTTTAGTGCTTCTTGAGTTTAGAGGTTAGGCTGGCACTTCTTGTGTATGATCATACCTCTAGCAGATCTAGTATTAATTACCATGCAGGAGAATAGTTTGTAGGAATAGTGCAGGAGGCAATCTTTCCCAATGAATTACAGCTGTACTGATTACTAAGGAGTGGAAACAGCCTTGCCTGCCCAGTGAGGATGGGGGTTATAAAAGAGTGGGGCAGCTCGCTATAAGCTACAGATGGAGGTCGGGATTGAGCGATAGAGTGTGCTACAGGGTGGGATGGAGTCTGCTGGCTGTGCTGTGAGGAGGTAAGGGATAGACAAGGTAAGAAGATGCTGTGTGAGGGACAGATAGGGTTAGGCGGCCGGGAAGGGGTTGGGGTTTAGTCAGTCATGCAGAAGGAAGAAGGAAACTTGCAGAAAGGAGAGAAGGAGTCAGTGCTGTGTGAAGTAGCTAATGAGGAAAGGAGTCAATGCTGTGTGGAGCTGCCTGTGAGGAAAGGAGTCAGAGTTTCCTAAGACAAGTTCATTGATAGAAGATATGAAAAGTTTTAAATAAAAGACTGGTGATAGTGCTAGTGGTGTCCATCTTCACATAATTGCTACACAATTGTGTCAACAATTCCACCACCAAAAGGAATCACTATATGCATCCAAATGTGCAAGCTCAGAGCTGTGTTGTCATCTTCTCTGATGATCAAGAAGATAAATGCACTAATGACCAGTAAGATTGAATACCTCAGAAAGTTTGCAGATTACATGAATTTGAGTGGTGTGTTTGACACTCCTTAAGGACAGGATGCAATTGCTGGGGTCCTGGACAAACTTGAGGTCTGGGCCTGCAGGAACCTCATGAGATTCAACAAGTGCAAGGTGCTGCACCTGGGTCAGGGGGATCCCAGACATGAGCACAGACTGGGAGAAGTCACTGAGAGCAGCCCTGCAGAGAAGGACTTGGGGGTTCCTGTGTGTGAAAAGCTGGACATGAAGCCAACAGTGTGTGCTTCCAGCCCAGAAGACCCATGGCACCCTGGGCTGCATCAAAAGCAGCATAGCCAGCAAGCTGAGGAAGGGGATTCTTCCACTCTACTTTGCCCCTCTGAAGCCCCACCAGGAGTGCTGCATCCAGCTCTGGGGTCCTCAGCACCAGAAAAACATGGACTTGTTAGAGCAGGTCCAAAGGACCACAAAGATGGTCAGAGAGCTGGAGCACCTCTCCCATGAAGACAGGCTGAGAGAGCTGGAGTTGATCAGCCTGGAGAAGAGGAAGCTTTGGGAGGGCTTCCAGTACCTTAAGGTGCTTATAAGAAGGAGGGAGAGGGACTTTTTGTATGGGCAGATAGTGCCAGGACAAAGGGCAATGATTTTAAATTGCAAGAGAGCAGGTCTAGATTAGAAGTCAGGAAGAAATTCTTTACTCAGAGACTGGTGAGGCACTGGAAATGTTGCTCTTGGAGGTTGTGAATGCCCCATCCCTGGAAGTGTTCAAGGCAAGATTGGATGGTACTCTGAACAAGCTGATCTAGAGAATGGTATCCCTGCCCATGGCTGGGGCTTGGGACTATTTGAACTTTAAGGTCCCTTCCAACCTACTCCAACTGTGCTTCTCTGAGTTACATTCAAGATGCCCTTATGCTGATATGCAGCCAGATTACAGCAGAGAGTAGCTAGAAAACACATGGATCCTGAGTTTGATGGACACAAATTCTCTTGAGCTCTTGCTTCAGCCAGCAATTCAGACATACCTGCAGAGGCAATGTGTGGCTTTAGCCTGGTGTTCACCATAATATTATTTTACCATCTAGAGCCACTTACTTCTTAAGCATAATTTTGATGTGAATGGCATCATTGAGTTAAATTAAACACCCCAAATAACACCTCCCAAAACCAGGGGATTCCTATAGGTTGTTCTCAGCCTTGCTGAGAACTGGAATATGCAGGAAGAGTTTGATTCATTTAATCTCCTTTGTTGCCGAGGGTTTTTTTTGGTTAAGCAAGCAGAAAATTCTCCAGTGAAAAAGGGAACATGTTTTAACATCAACCTGGATCTCAAGATAAACAGCACAGGGCTTCAAATACAGATTAGAAATAGCTTACACAAGACAGACACATCAGAGCTTTTAACCAATACAATACTATTTTCCATTTAAATAGCAGATATACACTCCCAAGTTCTGCATAAACAGGCCTAGCTACAGAAATTACTTCAGAAATTACTTCATCCTTATTCAAGTGCAGCAATCCTTGGTGGATAGAAGTGCACACTATAGTGAAATCAACGCTTAATATTGCTTTTTTTTCTGTTTACAGCATGTCTTATAAAAGGAATCTTTTTTCCTCCTTCAAAAATCTAAATTTTTTGTAATTTAGTGGACTGTTCTGCTATCTTGGTTCTTTTTTTCTTCCACTTGCTAATCATTTTCTTAAATTGTGCAGATAAATTTTATAACAATTTTATTATTATTAGCACAAATATTGCTGCAAAAGTGAAAATCTACTGCTGGTAAATCTGTCTTGGTATGAAAATTCAGCATTATTTTCTGAGGTTGCAAAGCGCAGAATCATAGAACATGTTTGGAAAATTGGACATAAACCATAAGATTTATTAAATTTAACTTCAGAATCTGGGTGAGAAATCCTTGCTTTTCTTTAGTGCTAATGAAGAAATAAAGGCATTTTCAAACCATGGTTTGTCTCACCTACTAGATATCTGCTCTGGAGGAACACATACTGGAATTTTAGAGTCAGTCTTCACTGACCGTGAAAGGGTTCCTTAGGTGATGAGCAGAGAATGAGGTGTGTGTGTAAACAGCTGAAAGCCACTCTAAAGCACGGCTGAGTTGAGAGCCGAGGGTCCCAGTGTGACACCCCTGAGCGCTGCCATGAGCCTTGTCCTGCACAGCCTCTGGGTGCTGCAGCTCAGGGTGAAACACCTTCACTCCAGACAAAGGGACCAGCATTGCCCAATGCCTGAACCGCAGAGCCTCAGTTTTGGGGTGTCTGTATCTCAGAGAGCAGGGCTTTGACAGACATTTCAGACAGATTTATCTGCACTGATCCAAGCTGCTGCTCCCTGCCTGGCTCCTGACTCTCAGCAGCGATTACCCAGCACAAGGGAGGGCAGCACTGGCCACAAACTGATGCCACAAGGGTCTCAGTACATGGTCCATTGTGCCAGCTCAAAAACCTGTGAAAGCAGTTTTCTCCTCCAGCCTGTAAACTCGAGCCCTGAGACCCTAGCACATGCCACATCCTCCTCTAAGTCAGTAATTTCCAGTCAGCAAGCAAGGCAAACATGAGACAGCTGTGTTTTCAATCACAGCAGTTAAATTTGCCAGAGCTTGCCCGCAGGAGTACTAAAGCACTGGCGTCATTTCCAGAGGTACCTGGGTTTTCTTTGGAAAGCTGCTGTGAAATCTGACACAAAGTGGAGAAGTTCTCCCTTGCAGAAATTAATAATACTGTCCAGTTCTTGTATCCCTAATTTCCTTTCCTCAAATCAAGTCTCTCCTCCAGAGGCTTTCCTTCTTTTACAGTTTTTCTGACATGAAATGTTTTC